TGCCCTGAAATAAGGTATAATCTATACCAGTGTTTCTGAACCTTGGCAACTTTAAGATGTGTGGACTTCAACTCCCAGAAGTCCCCAGCCAGCCATGCTGCTGAAATTCTGGGAGTTGAAGTCCACACATCTTAAAGTTGCCAAGGTTGAGAAACACTGATCTATACAGTCAATAAACAGCTTGTAGGACAGTCAACATTCTACGATCCTTTTCCTGTTACTGTCAGACCTAAAAAGTATGTGTATTGTTGCAGATGAGTTTTTAACTACAAGCTACAAGAAAGTAGGTACTTCTTTACAGTGCCTTGTCAGAAACAGAACTACTGGTTTAATGGGGAAAGCATTTACAGTAGGTTCATATAAGGCAGTGTTGTCCAAACTTGGCCACTTTAAGATGAGAGGACTTCAACTCCCAGAATTCCCCAGCCAGCCAAAATAAATATATATTTTTGAATATGTTGACTTTTGCTACTGGTTTAATGGGGAAAGCATTTACAGTAGGTTCATATAAGGCAGTGTTGTCCAAACTTGGCCACTTTAAGATGAGAGGACTTCAACTCCCAGAATTCCCCAGCCAGCCAAAATAAATATATATTTTTGAATATGTTGACTTTTGGTATATATTTATTGATGATTTATATGTTTTAATTTTGGCAAACTGCCTTGAAACAATAGAAGAATATCATAAAAGCAAATCTTGAGGAAAAATCAGTTTCAACTTTAGTTCTCGAATAGATTTGTTTGTCCATATTTTAAGCTATCACTTTTACATGTACTTTTAAAGTATATATTCTGGGAGTTTGTTCCCAGAATTCCCCAGCCAGCCAAAATAAATATATATTTTTGAATATGTTGACTTTTGGTATATATTTATTGATGATTTATATGTTTTAATTTTGGCAAACTGCCTTGAAAAAATAAGTGAAGATGATATCATCGGGAAAGAATGTGTAACTCTCTTTTGACATAAATTTCATTAGCTAGAAAAATAGGAGCTCTTAAGTGGTTGTAATTATTTGAGAAAAGCGTCACCAACACTACAGTACAGTAATAGGCAGTGACATGTAACAAGGTAATAAAAAAGTGTTCAGTATCACAGAAGTTATGTTTTCAGACTGTATAATATCAAAATGTGGGTGAAAGCACTGCATTTTCTGAGATGCAATGGGGAAATGCTGTAGAATCTTAATTAGATAAGTGTTAGATGCAAAACTGTATCTGTCACTGGGGAACAACATATTGGGTACTTTTCTTTTTTCAAGTCCTAAGTGGAACACAGACGTGCCTTGTAAGCAGAGTAGAAATAAACTAGATTCTTTTTTTAGTATTTATAGCAAGGCTAGAGATTAATTATAGGTGCTACAGGTCAAAGGACCTTTCTTTACTGCTGAGTTGAAGTGTTATCTTGGGTCAGCACAAAAATATGCTGGAATGAAATTTGCTGTCTCTGTAATCAGTCCTTATTTTGCCTCTGTCTGCCTCTGTTTCAGACCACTGTGCTCATTTGGCTTTCCTCCAAAAGAATGAGTGACAAAGACTAACACCTTGGATAACGTCGAAGTAAGGGAGAAAACACTACTTTACTCAGTCAGAAGGAATTCTGGTGGTAACTTTTCTGAATAACACATTTTATTAAAAGGCATACATTTTTGTGAGCTGCAGTTCACTTCATCGGATGCCCAGAGTGGCTAGACTGATGTGGGATTTCTCTTTCTCAGACAAAAATGTATTTTACCTTTTACTTGTGTTAATTCAAGTACAATTGTTCAGACATTAAATGATATAGGAGTGCTGCTAACCTCTCTGGGTATTCTTTAAGCAGCTGTTTCAAGCTCGTAAGCATATTTTCCCATCTTGTCCTTGTCCTATGAGTCTATGACTTAGATAGGCTGATAAAAGTAATATTGTGAAAAGATCTGGCTGGTTTTCCACAAATCAATCTCATAGGCAAAGGACAAACGCAGTCTAAGCCTGACATCAATCCTGAAGAACTATGGAATCATTTTATTACCTGCCTTGGAAATTTGACAGTGAAGTGTTTACAGATCCATTGCAAAAGTGCGGCCACCATATTCTGTACAAGATTTGAAGAGTCAGAAACTGGAGAACTTCCAGCCCAGGATTGACTGCTGGGCCCAATTTCTCCAAAGATTTGGATCAGTTCTTTAGTAACTAACTAGTCATTAGTTTCATTCTGTGCAGGGATTCACTTCAGAAAGAATGAACAGAAGAGAACACTGTTTTTATCTTTCTGTGTCTACCTATATTCGAGACAAATTCCTTTTATTCCTTTGTCAAAACATTATGAATATTTTTTTCTGTTTAACAGGGTCATCCAAGGTTTTCTTTCAAGTCCTGAAAGCCAATGAATAGTACTGTAAGGCTAACTAAGTTCATTATTCTAAAACATAAGATAGGCTATATCAATGATTGACATGTAGGACAAAGACTTGTGCCAAATGGGTGTGTACCCAGCTGAACTTTTGCCTTTTTGTTTTTGAAGAGTAACTTTTTGCAACTGATCATGGGAAGGGTTCTGGCAAATAATTGTTTTGCTAACAGGATACCAGATCTGGTATGCAAAAATCTAGATGACTATTAGAGAGCATCAGGGAGATACAGAAAAGTAACTGTTTGATCATATCTAGTGGTCATTTGGATTCTTGTAACACATATCTAGTAGCTTTATGGCTGAGAATTAGGATTTCCTATCACAGTGTCCTAATGTGGTACCTTCCAGAAGTTTGTAACAGAAATTCCCAGAATGTTCAAATAGTTGAGGAGAGGGTGACCTTATGTTTGTGTTATACAGCTGATTGCTAATTATTATTGATAAACCCACAAATCCTGTATTGGCAACCTTGAGGAAATTTATTCAGCATTGTTTTGCAGGTATTTCTCTTCTTTGGCTGTCTTCACTGAGATGAAGGCTGGAACTGAGAATATCTTGAAGGAAGAAAATATTGCAGCTATTCCCTGCTTACCCAACCTTCTCTCAATGGTTTGGAGACAAATATGCCAGCCAGGTTTGTGGCAAGTTTAATTATCAAACTATAAAACAATAAAGCTGTTCCTAGGCTGAAACTCTCAACAACATATAAGCCTGCAGGAGGCAAAATGAATAAAATAGACTACAGAGTTGAAACTGGGGAAACACAAAAGAGGTCACTTCCTTTTTCAGAAAAAAAGGGAACAAAAATAATTTCATGGACATTTTAAATTTAAACTTTGTTCTTCCCACTTTTGGCTATGAATGTAAAGTGAGGTAGTTGCCCTACCTTGAATATTTATCATCCAGGAGGAGTTAAAATTTTGCAAAAAACGTACTCCTACACAAACATATACAAATCATTTAGGGAAAAAGAAGTACATATTAATGGATGAAAACCCAATAGAAACCCAATAGAAGCCAAGCGAGGATCAAGCATACTCAATGAGCATGCCATTTTTTTTGTTGGAGAGAAAGGCAATTCTTGTGGGTTACATGAATGGAATGGATTATCAAGAAGATGGTAAATTTAGTAAATACACAAACCTAACATAAAGAACTACTGAGAACTTAATTTCATTGGCAACTTTCTGTCCATAATTTTTCCTCTTTAGGCTGATATAATTTTCTTTTCAATATTTGTTAGAATGATCACCAATTATTACATGTAATTCAACCTGCTGATGCACAGCAATACGTGTTTGAACTTTGGATAATAGTTCACCCACTCCAGACAGATGATGCCCATAGGCATTAATCATGTTAATTTATAGCTAAGCTAGTTTGAGATGGGAGTAAAGATCAACACAAAACAGAAAGTAACATTACCATGTATTTATTACACATTGATGGTAAATTATTCATTTAAATACACAAGGATTCCAAGCTCAAAATAATTTTATTCTTTGAAATAAACAAGTAAATAAAAAAACTACCTAACATTCCATTAGAGTGATAAAGAATACTGATAATATTAAACAAACAATTGACAATACACTAAAATGAATACACTAACCATCATAGTACATCAGAATGTTCAGTCATTAATACAAATCCAACAGTGAATATAAAACAAGTTATTTTCCATAGTGCATGGAGAAAGAATCACAATTTATTCTCTCTCTCTCTCTCTCTCTCTCTCTCTCTCTCTCACACACACACACACACACACACACCAAAACAAAACAAAACAAAACAAAACAAAACATAGCAACTGATTCATAAATCAGAAGGAAGCTGATGTGGGACTTTAAGTTTTAAAAATGTACCTGCCTCCATAGATTCTTCCATATGTCCTTTCGCTGGACTACTTTTGAGATATACAAGTTACATGCTTATATAGCACAGGGCTATACATTTATCATTAAAACATGAGAAATCATTAATATCTCAATACAAACATTGAAATTTCAAACAGGAAGACAGAACAGTCAAAATCTGTATTTGGCATCTCAAACAAAGGAGGCAAAACTGATTTATACAATAACTGCAAAGGATGATGCTCCAAATTTTGACCATAGGTAAAAATGGATATTTCTATATCATATATAATGAGTTATACGTAATAGTTAACTGAAGCCATTTTTCTTTAAACACCATCAGCTACTCAGGAAATCCTTTTGCTTCATGTCCTAATTCTTTTACAAGGCATTGTATGACTTTCACCAGAAAACCCATTTTCATGCCTGCAGATGGTTCCATTAATAGGACTGATGTTTTCATTATTAGATTCTAACTGGGAACTCCCATCAGTAGGCAACTGAAAGAAATGAGTAATTTGAGAAATAAGCAGATACTGACTTCAACAAATATTTGATGTTTAAGAACAGCCAGAACTATTTCTTGCACTTGCTTTTCACCTAGGTGGGCCCAAGAGAGGAACGCAATCTGACCTGACCTATTGGATTAATGAGCTGATCAGAATAGTGATATTCAGAGTTTATAGTTCTTCATATTTTGCAGGGCAATTGTCTAAAAATATATGTATCAGAATGCATGTTGGATAGAAAATGTATTTATAAATGGGAGTTTGAGAGGAAAAAAGAAAGCAAGAAAACATATATTTCAAGATATTTTTGTATATTTTAATTTGCAGACTGATGTAATAATGTGTTGGAATGGACTAATGAAAATACTTGGTCCAATATTAGTGACTGTACATTGTATTAAACTGATCATTATATAGGGTGTAAAGCAATGTAACAGCACAAAATTTGCTTTTTCCAAACTTACTTTTCTTTTAGACTGCATATTTGTAGGTAGACTGTTTTTAGCCTTGCTTAGAGTTGCTTCTTCTAAATCTAGAACACAAAACAATTTTCTTTCATTATGAATAACATCTTTGAGTGTAAAGGAAATATATCACATAATCACACAAATGAATCTTGAAGATCATCTAATTCACTTCCACTCAATACAAGGATTATAACCTTGAGGTTCAACGCTTCTGGAAGCATCAGGTTGGACAAGGGAGATTCAATCCCTCTTAATATTTGCTCTTAATTTATTAAATTATTGGAGTTTGTAGTCCATAACAAATAGTAGCTCCTAGCTCATCTAAGTGGCAAAGCAGTAAAGGTGCTTTATTCCCCTTTGGATTCCTTTCAATGAACACATTTCAATAACAGTTATCCAAATACAGTAGTAATGTAATAAATTTACACAAAGAGCTCACCTGACAGCTGAAAGCTATAAGGATTGTTTACTGGATCAGACTACAGTATATGCAATCTAACACCCCATCTACAATGATCCCCCAGATGCTTCTGGAATTATTACATGTTGACTTTAAGAGTATCAAGTTTCTCCTTCTTTTGGAGAAGGTTCTCTCCTCTTTTGGCCAGGTTCTCCCTGGAATGGAGCCATAGCCTTCCTATTTGCTAAGACACTGAGCAAAGTTATGGCCACTGCCTGCATCCAGCTTCACTCCTTCTCCTGCAGGTCCATGACTACATACCCATCTCTTCCTAATATACAGTGGAATATTATTAGAGACTGGCTTTTAAAAATAAACCCAGATATCGTCAGTATCCTAGAAAAACACTTTACCTGTAAGGAGCTCATCAATTTGATCAACTACAAAGTTTGCATCTTCCATACTGAAGCACATGGGTGGCTTAAATTTCAAGACATTTCGGTAAGGCCCATCTGCACTCAGAAGGATCCTCCTTTCTTTCAGCCTAGTTAGACAGAACCAAAAAGTTATTTTTGAACCCTAAGAAAAACATGTGATGTTTAATTGTAAGAAATTACTTTAAAATTGTACTTTGAGTTTGGGTAAATTTAGTAACATTTGATGGTGGTGTTTTTTAATGGCACAGTTTGAGAAGATATATATTTAATAAACTTTAAACTTTATTCTTTAATAGGTGGAGAATTCCTGGGACTTTCATGAGTTTCCAGGAAGAGTTAGGATCTTAGGGTTAGGAAGATACCTTGCAACAATAATACATTCAGCAATTTACTTCCATGGTGCCCCAGATCAACTGCCTAAGGCAGATAATGCATTCTGTATATTGGTAGGGCAGACTTCTTGGCAAAGATAAATAAATAGGTAAACTATAGGACCATTTGAAGTTACTCAGTTCCTGCTGGACTATGAATTTTAATTGCTTCAGCTTAACATCACATTTTGACAAAGTATTTACTTGTAAATGATATGCTGGGCTTCAGCAGTAGCCGGTGTTCTCTTTTGTTGATCTTTCACAAGATCCACACCAATAAATAAGCCAACACCTCTAAAAACAAAAAGAAAGGAATGACAAGAACCTAACAGTACAAAAATCACATTTCACTGTTAAATAATATATCACTCCATGACAGCCATACCTGTGTGTCTGTGTGCGTGTATGTAAGAGCTACCAAATGTTAGGTAGACTTTTCTACAGGGGTCAAAAAAGTCAAGATGACAATCGCAAGCATGCAGCCAAAGCCCTGCCCCTTTTTTACATGCACTGTGCATGTAAATCTTGATTTTTCTGACCCTTCCCTGCCAGTGGATGCCTCTGCTTTCCTATGAATTTGGAGCACAGGCAGTGCTTGTTGGTCCATTCTTTCTCTGCTTGCAGCAGAGATGTGGCAACAGGAATGCCAAAGTGCTTATCTCTAAGAATATAACATCTGGACAGTGATCAAAATTTAACTAAATGAAAACTGGCCTTAACTAACAGGAAGAACTTTTGCAATGGGTAGCCACCCTTGAGAAAGTTTTTCTCGTTTGCCATGGATAGTAGCAGCTCTAAAAGGGCAGGTTGGTAGAGAAGCAGTTATTTCTTCAGAAAATGGTTTCTAATCTATGTTGATCTTTAAAAGATAATCATCATCTCTCTAAATTATAGCTAGAAATTGTAAAATTCTTTCAGCACAGGCTAGATATTTTTACCTTGGCAGTAAGAAGCTTGCCAGCTATATATTGCATTAACTGTCCTTTCTTCATAGTCTTCAAAGGTAGTGTGATGGTCTTGCATTACTTTATTCAAACTTAGATGCTATTAGAGTTCTGAAGACTGTATGTAGTAGTGATGTTTATTCGGTCAATATATGAGTTTTCCTTTATCCTTTATGCTGTTTTGGATGATGGTAATAACCTAAAAGCAGGTTTACTTTACCTGACATCTCCCACCAATGAGTGCTTTTTCTGTTGTTCCTTGAGTATTCCAAGGAGGTAGTTTCCAACGCGTGTGGCATTCCCTTGGAGATCTTCTTTTTCTATTATATCTAAGACAGCCAGACCAATTGCACAAGATACTGGGTTTCCACCAAACTGAAAGCAAAAATAGTTGAGAATATAGGACAGTTCTCTTTCCCCTGAATGTGACTTTATTTCACAGAGGGCAACTCTTTATTTGAAGGGCTGCGAGAGGACATATAGTTTTTTGACAGCATTCTCTATTTGAAAGATTGTGCAGTCCAAATTTAGTTCAGAAATGATAAGAATGAAACAGCACAGACCAAACCTTCAGCATCCCAGTAACAGACTGAGTAGGTACACAAATCACCTGATCGGTCTTCTCAATTGCCTTATTAAATATTCTACTCCCTTTTAAAGCAGATTGGTTGATTTATATTTTAATAGTATAATTAGTATAGTTTCCATATTGAAACACTGTATATCACTACATATCTGATTTGTATTCTGATGATCAGTATATGCCCACTTATAATTTAATTACCTGATTATAATACTACAAGTGATACTCACAGTATTGAAGTACTCTAAACCCAAGGCACCAAAGGCTTCTGCAATTTCTCTTGTTGTAACAACACAAGACATTGGATGGCCATTGCCAATGGGCTTCCCCATGGTGACAATGTCAGGCACAAAGTCTTCACCTTGCAGCTGGAATCCCCAGAAATACTTTCCAACACGACCAAATCCAACTTGGACTTCATCTGCTATGAAAACTCCTCCTGCTTTGTGGACAAATCTAAAAATAAAAACAAACAGTTCAGATGTCTCATCATGATCTTAGATAATGTCTAATCATTAGATTATATCTTTCTTCCTTGTGAAAAAAGTATTAATTATGCTAACTTTAAATGTAACATCTAAAGAGCTTTTCAGATCTGAGAATTACAAATACTATTATTATTATTATATAATATATATTGCAGTCTTTATAGAGCGATTCTAAAGTTAAACCAAACTCAAGTTAGCTAAATTTATCACAGCATGGAAGGATCTATGTGGATTTGAAACATTGCATGGGATCCAACATAAGGTTAGTTCACTTTTAGTTATCAAAAGGCCAAATCAAATAATAAATTTGAAATTGCTACCCTTGATCAGAAAAATCATGAGGTGTATCCCTCATAAAAGTGTTCTCTCAGAATATAGATAGGAGTGCCAGGTCTGAATGCTTCTCATCTAAACCACTCCTTGCCTTATTCACTCTTTAAATGTTTATTGTGACATTCATTCCAAATTACTAGTCTGCTATATGAAAGATAAAAATAAAACAAGGGGAATATTCAGTGGCATAATAACCTTTCTCAAACACTTTCCCCCTTAAATGTATACATTAGCTGGGAGCAGTACATAATAAGATATTTCATAATATTTAAACATAAGATGTTTAAAAAAACCACTTTCATGGTATTGGACTGAATTACTTGCCAAAAGCTTGTTACAAGCTCTCTGCTACTTCAGGGAACAAAGGTCACAGCCACAACCCACTATTCCCAAATAGATAAAATGGGATGGATATCTTTAAATCACTGTTCACCAATCTGGTGCCTTCCAGACATATTGGGACTTCCAGTTGCTGGCTATAATGGCTGTACTGAAAATTGTAGGAAGGCACTAGGTTGGAGAACTGCTGGTAATTGTCCTGCTACAATTAAGCCATTCCAAGCACTATACATACTCTGCCACTTTCTGGAAATAGCCTGCAGGTGGAATTATTTGGCCTCCACAACTCTGCATGGACTCAGCAATAAAGGCAGCAATCTAAGTCAGAGAAGATGTTGCAGAAGAAGGTGTTACAGAAGAATAATGGTCCTCAGCCTATTCTTTTGCAAATGACCCAACAATTAAATATAGGCTATAAAAACAAGGAAGATAAATGAACAAAGAGTTTGGGCAGCTAGGATGTATAACTATGAGTAAATAAATAGGGATACCCAATTTTTCAATGCCAGGACCAAGCACCCAATTGAATTATTACATCAATACAAATCATATATTCAGAAAGTGTTGGGTTGATCTGCAAGGTGTACCAACATATTTACGTACCTACTTTAGATGGAATACCCAGAGAAATTTTACTTCCAGATTATCTGATAGATGATCAGATGATAATTAATACTCTGACTAATTATTTATTATTCCAAATCTCCAAATATCAGAAGAATATTTGCAAGTTCTTTTATTCTACATGGCACACTGGGGTAGCCAATTTCATCCTCTTGCTTTCCACTAAGATGCATAAACATACTGCCTGGAGTTAAAAGATCCACAGAATGAAATTTTGGACATCCCTGCTTTAGGAAGGATTTATAGAGAAAGTTCACCAAAAGGAGCCATTTGACAAAAAGAAGGACCCTACAGATAAAGTAATTCCAGTTGCTGGGAATGAAAACAACAAAACACAAACAGACAAAAACACATTATTTTGAATCAAGAATCAGTATCAGCACTTTGGGTAGACCAAAACATGAAGCTTACTTTTTTTCTCTCTTTTTTGCCCTCAGCATTATGTCACTGCTGTCCCCCAAAACTGCCTGCAGAGCACGTTTGCTATTTAACTGACTGCCTCCCACACTTTGCGCAACCCTCCCTGAGAATCTGTAGGATCCATAGGAGCTGGGCAGGACAGTCTTCCTGGAAAGAAGGTCATGCGGTAACGTGTAAAGAAGTGCACATAGACTTGAAGAGGTACACTACAGCCAGGCAGTAGAAGATTCCCCATTGTCTGTAAAACTTTATCACAGGTCTACGACACCAAAACCTATGAATATATATGAAAAGGGAGAGAAACAGACAAAAGGAAGAAAATAGAAACTATCTGTTAGATTTTGCTTTTTAAAAAAAACTCATTAAGGAATTAAAGACTGATAGTAGACTTCTGGACTTTAAGGTAGTTGAAGAAAATAAGTGAAAAATGATGTAACACTGCTTAGGTCTTTAAACATCCATGGATGATGATGGTGATGATGGTGATTTATCGGCTTATTTTTGTTACAGCTGGGCAATGCTTCAGATCTGACTGGGAAGAATTAGGTGCAGAAATGTAGTACCTCTTTGTGAATTATTAAAGCAACGCTGTTTGTTTCCAGGATCACACAGTTGCTGCAGAAGTGCTCCTATAGTAGCTGGGCAAGCCTGAAAATGACACAGCTGCTTTAATAAGTGTTAGATTCATAGTCCTGCATGTTCTAAAGGACTTCTTCTCATACAAATCTAAAGCACTGCACATCCTTAATGTCTGTACATTTAATTAACTTTAATTGATTACCTGTTGTAATTTTCAGCTTGTTTTGCTGTTTTGCTCTTTTGTCGGACGCTGTGGGTATAAAATTTACTGGATCTCCACAAAAATCCAATAATTATTAGTAACCCAAATTAAATTTAATTAACATTATCATCAACTTCATGTGAAGTCTAAAACTCACTGATCAGCTGATAGTTGTAATTTCATTTTTGTTGATCTTTTTGCATTCTAAGACAAGTGAAGATTTCTGCACCATAATTAATTCTCTGTTAACAGGCAATGTCTGTTCTCTTGAATTCCTTTTTTTAAGTCACTTTAAAATATTCTTAATTACTGATTTTAAATTGCATTTTTTGCTCATGTTTATATCAAATCCTTCAAGTATTTGCACTATTTAGCCTTTCCCGCTTGGACTTAGCCAGAGTGTTTTATTTTAAATTCAATCACACTTCATTGTGTTTGCTTGTCCTTTTATCTTTTTGTGTTTATTTTGGTTGAGTTTGGTGAATAAGATTTTGTAGTTTCTAATTCTATATTCTATTTCACGTTTCTTCAGCCAGAATACTAAACAGTTTTCATGATGGCTGAGAATTCCAAGAATTATAATCTAACATTTCTGGTGACTGCTAAGTTAAGGAAGGTTGTTTTATTGTATAGAACCTAGTTTGCCTTTAGGTATTTAAAACAAAGTTAATGTATTATTATGTAACTTTCTGGAAGCTCAGTAGGATGGATAATGACTTATTGGAAGCCATTCTCTAAGATCAGGAGCAAACTGGAATGTAAAACATATTTCTGGTGTATCCATTGAACCATGCTGGTTTTCTGAAAGTTTGTGTTGTCTGAAAGAAGAAATGTGGTGAAGTTGTTGGGCTTTCAGTACAATCTTCTTGTAGCAAATCTTTTTGCTACAATCTTTGTAGCAAAAATTTAAATTTTGCTACAAAGTATGAGTTGTACACTTTGTACAGTCCAACTCAGTCTGGGTCTTTGAATAGAGGATATCCACTCAAATACTTCTTGCAATACAGGGATGGAAGCTTTGTGGATCTCCAATTATTGTTACATTACATTAACAGGCAAAACAGGATCTCTGTGCTCAGCACAGATGGAGAAAGCACACTGATCATCCTTGCTAGGATTCTTGCTACACATAGCCCCCATAGATCTCAAGAAGATAGTCTTAGGAACAAAGAAGGGGGAGGGAATCCAAATTTATTTATTCATTTTTAAAAATCCATGTGGGTCCTCATTTGAAACAGTGCTTGTAAAATTCATGAATAAGGATTAAAGGGGATAGGGTGTACCTTAAAATCCAAGAATCTAATAAAAAATGAAAGACATTTCTCTTAATTAGGATGAGCATTGATGGATGGAGAAGGGACAGGAGAAATCTCTTTTAGAAAGCTTTGTACCTTACAGCCATTCTTTTGAGCTTTTTCAATAATATTTCTCACATCATCAGCATAAGCACCTGCTGGATCTTCATGGTCTTCTCTGTACTTTCCTCTGTAGATATCTGGAGAAGGTGCCTAAAAGACAAGACAGGTCTTTGAAATATTCATTTCAATGCACTGATCCCTGCCAACAGAAATAGCAAAATTATATTTAAAAACCAGTAATCAATCAATCTCTCTCTCTCTCTCTCTCTCTCTCTCTCTCTGTGTGTGTGTGTGTGTGGTGTGTGTGTGTAGGAGTTCATGCAAAGTGCATATTGATTTTTCTTTTTGAAACTTTTTACAAGAAAATAATACCAGATAATGCATAGAAACCTGTCCCATTTAACTCAGTAGATCCTACTTCTATGTAGGCATATACAGAAATTCATAATAAGATCATGTTGGTAGGGAGAATTTAGATAACTAAAAATAAAATATAATAAGTACTCACCACATGTACAAAGTCTTTCTTGCCCTCTTTCCCCAGCTGATTAAATTTATATGGACTGATATCAATCAAGGAGGTCACATGCCCATGATAAGCGCTGAAAAGAATTATGAATACAGTGTGATTCCAAAATACAGGAATAATTATTAAGATCTTGGACATGGATTGGGAAGACTCAATTCAAGTTCCTAGTCTCCATGTGAACATGCAGCTGACTAGACAACCTTGGGCCCATCAATATCTCTCAGTTCATTCCATGTCACACAGTTCTTAGGATAACATTAGGGGAGACCTCTGTGTGTCACTGCTGGAACCCCTGAAGGACTAGGTTGGAGACAGATCATCCTGGATAAAATTTATGTGGTTGCTACTTGATGATTGAATCAATCAATCAATCTCTGTCATCTTTAGCACCAAGAGAAAAAGTAGGCTATCAGTATAATAATAAGTAAATAAAATCTACTGAACAATTACAGATCAACCAATCCCTCTTCCCACATTTCATAAAAATGACTGAGGTAGTACAGCTCAAATTGAATTTCCATATGAATAGAAATTCATTATGATCCATGCATGCATGTATGGGATTCAAGGTAACAGAGAATCAGCTGTTGTGGCACTTATTCACTATTTTATGTTGCAAAGAGATGATCTCCCCTATAGATTCAGCACACTTACTGATCAAGGGTTATCACATCGTAGTGACCGCTATACTGCCGAGCCAGGCGCAAAGCAAGGTCATTTGCTTCAGAGCTGTAAACAAGTATTAGAAAAACAATTCAGTCAACAATTATAACAGGAAGAGCTTCATAATGATCTAAGGTTTTTAACCCAAAAAACATAATAATCAGAAAACAGTAGAAATGTGTTTATACAATAACTTCTAAAAAATATTAATATTACAGGTTAGGTTTCATTTGATTCTGTCAGACAAAAGTAGGCTACTGTCTGATTTGGAATAAAAGTTGCATGACAACAGAATTCTGTCTGGGCATTAAAACCAAAAAGTTGTACATACATGGTTGCACATACATATAGAATAGCTATCTCATTAAGCCTCTGTGTCAGGTTCTTTGGCAGTTGCCAAAAAGTAAACCTGATCTTTTCCAAGGATGATTCCAACAGAGTTTTTTAAGCAAGATTTATTAAGAAAAAATAATTGGTGTTAAAGAAATTGCAGCAACCATTTGCCATTCAAAACCAATATAACCTCATCTACATTAAGGAAGAGATTTTTCTTTTTCTTTCTAACAGCCTTCCTGTGATCCAGGGAAGCAGCAGAAAAGTCTTTCAGACATACCCAGAGTTCACAAAATAGCAAACGGAAAGCTTCTCTGGCAGGGTAGCCGTGAGACGTTTAGCATACTGGACCAGATTGTCGTGTAGGAATCGAGAATTGGTATTAAGCAGCTCCATTTGTTTCACTGCAGCCATGACTACATCAGGATGGCTGTGTCCAACTAAAGAGGATCAAGTATAAGAAAACTCTTAGTCCGTGGATCTCTCTAACATCGCAGTGTAAGGTTCTTATTCTGTCCTGACTTCATGGTTTGCTTTCACCACTGCTATGGACACATATTGAAATCTTTCTTTTGCTCAGCATATCTGTCCCTGTGAAGCTAGAAAGATATGGATGATAGACCATGTTTCTCTGTGTTTCCACCTTTATAAGGAAATTCATTTCTCTTTTACTTAAGCCTTCTTTATTAAACATGATAGGTAGGATGATGACATTTTATGTTGTTTGTCTAGCATGAACACTGAGACATTTCTGGTAGAGTGGGTGAGTTTCATGTCATTGCTTGTACTATAAGATAGCATCTAATGAAAGTACTGAATGAGTCAGTTTGATAATTTGATTTGGCTGATGTTGGGACATTCCCAGAATCTTAAGGAAAGACTCAAGATCTTTGTGCAGGAAAAATGAATGAATGTTGGATATCTTTTGTTTTATGTTATAATTAAACTAATTGAATTCAGTTTGAAAATATGGTTGAAATCCAATCCCTACAATAAATGGGAGACTTAAAATGTTTGCCACCAATGTAAGAGATAAATTCTTACCATGTGCTACATTGTTAATGCAATCCAAGTATTTTTCTCCATTCTCATCGAACATATATTGTCCATGAGCCCGCACAATCTTAATGGGATCTTTAGCAAAGAAAACCTTGCATGATGGCCTGCAAGAGATGACATCAAATTGTTTTAGTTTGGATCAGCTCAACAGCATTGCTAGGCCTACATGAATACAAACACTGAAATGCTTTCCATTATTTACTTTCAGTGGTCCTTTAGCAATGAGACCTATTAATGTGCTTGGAGAAACATTAAACAGAGCTGGTTCATGATGCATGCATGTTCATTGTTCAGCGTGAGGAATATGAGGAAAGGCGATGCCAGGACTTTTGGTGAGGACTCATGGCAAACTAGATGTCCCTGAAGGAGTGGGAACAGCATTGCAGCGGAATCCAGTGGCCAGATGGTGAATTCTGGCCGGCAAAGTCTCTCCAGAAAAAGAAGAGGTTATGAGATTGCCCACTTATACTCTGGACAGCTGCTTCTTGTGAGTAGACTGTAGGAACTTAAAAGAGACTTTTAAGTTAAAAGTGAAAAGAGATTTATTAAAGTTTTGAAGGATTTTGTGAGAAGGGCAAAGAAAATATGCAAAGAAATCAAGTTCTAGAACAGTATCTGAAGGGATTAAAGATCAAGATTATTTATTTATTTATCACATTTATATAGCCGCCCATCTGTTACAAAGTGACTCTAGGCAGTGTACAACAATTAAAATAACAAGTGAATAAAAACAGGCATATAAAAAGATAAAAAGTTATTATTAAAATAAAAACATTATCACAATTTTTTTAAAAACTAGGTTTTAAAATATACAAACCCCACGGAGATAGCAGAATATCAATTATAGTGGAGCCATCTAAGAATGTCTCGTTTCCCCAGGCTTGATGACAAATCAGGTCTTGAGGGACTTCCTAAATGACAGCGGGGAAGGGGTGAGCCTAACTTCAGGAGGAAGAATGTTCCACACGGAGGGAGCCATGGCAGAGAAGGCCCGCCTTCTGGGATCCACCAATGCAAGTCACAGGCTCCTGTGACAGGGAAGAGGCAGTCCCTCAGATAAAAGTAAAAGGAAGTAATATAAAGTTGATTTATTTGATCAAGGTTAAAATAGATATGTTGTTATCTCTGGTAACCCTTAATGGACTTTTGCTGACCAGGACTGAATGATGACGCTTTAAAGATCTGTTTATAGATAAGAAATAAGATATGGGAAGAAGAGATCATTTGTTGTATTTTAAGAGAAGGCGATAAGTTACTAAAATTGTTTATACTTCTTATGAAGGGGGAAGTCATTTCTTTAAATAAGATATGGGAAGAAGAGATCATTTGTTGTATTTTAAGAGAAGGCGATAAGTTACTAAAATTGTTTATACTTCTTATGAAGGGGGAAGTCATTTCTTTAAATAAGATATGGGAAGAAGAGATCATTTGTTGTATTTTAAGAGAAGGCGATAAGTTACTAAAATTGTTTATACTTCTTATGAAGGGGGAAGTCATTTCTTTATATATTTCTTTTCTTTTTCTTATTTTTTCCATCTTTTCTGCACTTTCTATTTTTTCTTTTTATTTCTTTTTATTTCTTAGTTTGTATTAGTTCTTATATTTTTAATTGTAATGTTTAATAAAATTATTATAAAAAAGGAAGGGCCATGCCAGGTTGAAACAGCCAACATTACAATTCAATTCAGTTAATATATTCATTAAGCTGCAAGACACTGAGTGATAAATGAGAAGTGATGATGTATTGATGGACTTGGTGTCTGAACTGGTGCCTCAGTTCTACTGTAGTCTACTGCAGCCTGAGAACTTCTTCTGACAATCCAGTCTGAAAAGCAAATGAGCAGGTTCTTCTGTTCCAGACTAAGAACTTAAATCAAGTTTAATCAAGAAACCATTTTGAAATAATAGAGCTTTAAACACATTACACAGAAGGAGACTAACCCTCCCCCTTCCTGCCTGGCCTCTTCTAGACGTGTGCCTGGGTTGCATCAAATTGCCTTCACAATTGAGTTTACTGCAGAGGAGAGCTTCTGATGGAATGGGTCCCGTTTGTGGATTAGGTTGTGTGCAAGGGAGGATGAATCCATAACACAGTTCTGTTACTGCACTTATGAGGAAAAAGCTAACCTAAGCCAACAAGGCCTGCCTACTTTTATTTTTGGAAGGTTCCATATAAACAAGCAGGACAAAATAGTTTTGTTTTGCAATAATAATAATAATCCTGGAGAAGCAATCCTTAACTGTTTGTACAGAATTCTTGTCTTGGAAGGCTGCTTTGGTTTTGCATATCATCAGCAGGTTGGTTATGCAAGAACTGTGAGTACAGTTACCGATAGTTATATCAAACTGACATGCCAACATGTCAACACTGGCATCTAACTTTGCTCATCTAATCCCATTTATGATACATGCATCTTAGTGTGTTTACTATATTTGTCACAGATCCTTTAGGCAGGTCAGCACAGATCTACTTTTCTAGCTGTTCATGTGACTATTTTTATAGAAGTGAAGGCATTGGAGACAAGACATGAAAGCCAGGGTGATTTTCGGGTGCCAGATAGGCTTTTATATTTCAACATGTGCCTTACCATGAAGAAGTGAAGGGTTATTATTATTCATAAATCTTCCACACATCACAGGATAAAAGTAAGTAGGAAGCAAGTATAAATGCCACCGAGATTAGTAAAAGTAGGACCCATCAAAATTAAGAGCTTCTAAAATGTATCATTTGGTGCAAATTTAACTAGGAATAAGCAACCAGTCTAGCTTATATAAGACTTGTTTAAAATGTATACAGCTGCAACAGAAGCCCTGCTGAGCTCAGGGGAACCGCCAGACAGGCTCTGTGGGCTTCTATAGGGGAATTTAAAACTGATAAAATGAAGAATCATGGAGCTTGTTGACCAAGGGTGGTTGTTAAATGCATTATGTCTTTTCCACTTTAAATACTTTCTGAAAGTACAAGTTTGGAGCTGTTCAAAAAAGGTGCTATTTTGGTCATGTAAGTATGCTACTCAGTAGGAAGCCTCCATGAAAGGAGAGGGGGTGGTTTGTGAAGACAGGGATGTGCAAAATAATTTTCTTCTAGCCCTTGCTTATCTTTTCATTTAAATCCCACCCTCCGTTGTCCCAGAAGATTAATCGGTCCTGGGGTGTCAGTAGAGCAGAAGGCAGGGCTTTGAGGATTGGCTCCGTCTTGAATCGCTCCTCCTTCAACTCCTGGTTTGACCTGGCAAGAATGAACTGAATGCCCGCCTTCAGAGGGGTCTCACCAGCTGCCTCTCGCAACCCTAAGCCGCCGCAGCGGGAGGCCGTAATCCCATTCTGGGCATGCACCGGGGCACTTTCTATGGGGATCGCTTCTCTAGATGGCCGTGGACTTTCCGTCGGGAAAAAGGGCGGCTGCGGACTGGGGGGCGATCCTGTGATGAGTCTGCGTGCGCGTAAGCATGGGTGAATGCCACCTCCCTCTTCCCACTCCGTCTCCCAGCTCCTTGGCTTTGCCCTCTCAGCCTCACCCGATGTGTTTCTTCCGCAGTTCGAGGGTCTCCGCTTTGCTGTACATCTCCATCCTCCAGCCCGCTCCCGAATGCTCTCTTTGGCTCTCTGCAATCTCCGGGGACTCGCTCTCTGCCAGCGAGACATCCTCCTTATATTACGCGCCGCCTGGGTGCTGGACTCCGCCTCCATAGTCCACTGCCAACCTTCCTTGCCCATCCCCGATCCTCCCACCTTCGCCCCACGCCACGCCAGCCCCCCACCCCGGAGAGTGAGCGCAAGGACTGCTACTTTCGTTTGGACTGTCACGTGCGGGGGAATGATTCACTTCGCCTTCTGGGGTATTCACCCCACTGTAACTCGCACCGCTTGCCAATGACGGTCTGGCACAAACGGTGACGCTGCGAACAGGTAGCTCGCTCGGGCAATTGTTGCGGCAGAACTAACTGTGTTCCTCCTTAGAACCTTTGAAGGACAGAGTTGTTCCAGGAAACGGTCCGGTAATGATCAGATAGATTGTCTTAATTCCAGGCATAAAAAATATTCAAATCAGCTATAAACCTTCATTTTTTTCAGTGTTTAGATTCTCCACATGCTCCCATTGATTTCAGTGGACCAAAACCAGTGGAGATATATATATGATGGAGCATTCAGTAAGAAGAAAGGAGAGGAGCTCACAGGGACTTTCTGCTCACCCCACCTTCTCCATCTCTGACCCTTCAAAAATGTTGATGTTCTAAGACACCAGAGGAACATTAAAGATTTCAAGAGATATCCCCAACCTATAGCTGATGAGTTGGAATTCTGATGCAGAATTAACATTATTCAGTGGACTGAAAATAATATCACAGTAGGCATTTATACTTCTCTGGATGCCAGTGAATTGTTCTTACTTTGATTAGATCTATTGTACTTGAATGGCTCTGGTTTTCATTTGTGCTCCATTTGTGGTAATAAGACACACCTATTTCTTGTAACCGTAAGCCTTTGAAGAGATGCCAGAATGATAGTTGTGCAAGAGTCAGGTATGCCCAATAGACTTCCAAATCTTCTAATTTAACCCCTTACCTTGGAACCCCTGATAACTGCTCATTCACTTTCTGCTTAAAAACATCTGAAAATGAGATGTCATTGATTTCCAAGGCATCAACAATCCAACGCTATGTGGAAATTCCTTTGAACAGATTGGTATTTGTTTATCTTCTGGAGCAACACAATCATGGGTTGTCCTCAGATATGACATAGTAACGGGTTTTATCTACTTCTTCAGCCTATACATATTTAGACTGATTATATTTTCATAAAAATACCAGTGCTGGAAAGCATATTGATATGATTTCAACTGAACCAACATTTCAGATTCTTAGCTCTAACATATAATGTCCATTCATTGAAAGTGAATGTGAACTGATACATTTGATAGAATTCAGCAGTGAATCCGATAATGTCTTCTTCTAGGCTGAATTAAATTGATCAGAGATTATTAAAGGAGCTTTGCCCATTGGACAGAAGTTAAAATATAATAAGAGGTGGAAGATCACCAGCCACACACAGGTAATCAACTTGGGTAAACCAAGCTTCAGCCTCAAGGTCATATTGGATATACATTTGGGGATCTGAATGACTGTCTCAAGGACTTCCTTTTGGACTGGATTGTGTCCAGAAAGGAACAATTGAGCTATTGACCTAACTAAGCTTCATATAAGAGCTGAGTCAAAGACTTGGCATTAGGTTGTTTGAAAAAAGCAGAAGAACATTGAAATGCTGTGGCTTGTCTGAGGCATGAATTCTATCTCCACATATTTAATACATTTAATCTGCTTAATGATGTGGCCCTAGTTGTTCCAATCACTTATCTTGGGTCTTTTGGTACACACTGCAACCATTTTCCTTTGATAATTAATCAAAAGATGATTATTAGTACAGTACCGAGCACAGGTCCTTAATGTTCTTCGGATGCCAATTGATATCTATGGTAGACTCACAGCAATATCTGCATAAAGTCCTACTGGTAAACTTTTCCCAACTCTCTTAGAAAGGTAAGCAAGAACTGTAAACTTTTACAGCTTATAAGAAAGAAATGCCACATATGATGCTGTTTTGGGTTAACTAGAATATTTTTCAACCATATGTTGTAAAGCCAGTTTTGGCCATAGTGGAACATTCTGTTCTAAAGTCTGTTTGTTCTTTGGACATACTATTTTCCTACTCCAACTTTCCAATTCACACAATTGGCTTATAAAGTACTTATTATGCTCAAGAGGCTTATGGGAGAGCAATTAACTGGATTATGCCTTTTTTTTTAACATAGAGATGATAGTCACTAATCCTCAATCCTAGAGAATGAAGACCATTTTATTGCTATGAATGAAAAGTGAAATCAGAATTCACACCCACCACTTAGTAGTTGTCTTAATCAGTTCAATTAGAATGTGATCATCCTAGCCATCCTTGGACATAAATTAAATCCTGGTCTAGTGCTACAGTGTGAGCTTTGGGCTCCTGGGTTCTCCTCTCCATCTATTCTTTCATGTAATTGGGAGAATGAGATTGTATGAATTCACATTGATTTCCAACCTTGCTACTATGTGCAGATCCTCTGTGATCATTGATGGGAGAAACTCAATGAGCATTGGTTAGAATGAGGATATGCTGATTATAGTATTACCACCACTGTTAGGATGTTGTAGGTCAGTGACCAGTGATTAGTATTTATTTATGTAAAGCAATTTATATGGAATTGTTACTTGTGATGGAATGGAATTATGAAGGCCAGACTCAGGGAGAAAAACATTTTCTTTCATCTCCTGAGGCGTGAGGGAGAGATAAGAGGATGAGACCGGCACCTCCCTGAGGAATTCACAATGTTGTGGCTGGCATTACTT